AGATGGTGACTCCACCACTTCCTTGAGCAGCCTGTTCCAATGCTTCACCACGCTTTCCATGTTTAAATTATTCCTAATGTCTAACCTGAACCTCCCCTGGCTCAACTTGAGGCTATCTCCTCTTGCCATATTGGTAGTTATTCTAGAGATCAACCCCTGCCTCACTACAACCTCCTTTCAGGTACAGAGTGGTAAGCTCTCCCCTGAGCATCTTCCCCAAATAACCCCAGCTCCCTCAGCTGCTCCTCATAAGGGCTGTGCTCCAGACCCGTCATCAGCTCCCTTGCCCTTCTCCGGACACGCTCCAGCACCTCCATGTCCTTCATATAGTGGGGGGCCCAACACTGAACACAGTGTTCGAGGTGCGGCCTCACCAGCGCGGAGCACAGCAGGACAAGCACTTCCCTGGTCCTGCTGGCTGTGCTGTTCCTGATACAGCCAGGAGGCCGTTGCCCTTCACAGCCACCTGGGCACTGCTGGCTCCTGTTCAGCCGGTTGTCAACCAGCACCCCCAGATCCTTTTCTGCCGCACAGCTCTCCAGCCACGCTGCCCCAGGCCTGTAGCACTGCGTGGACTGAAGTGCAAGACCCAGCACTCAGCCTTGTTGAGCCTCGTACAATTGTTTTCAGCCTAGGGACCCAGCCTGTCCAGATTCCTCTGTAGAGCCTTCTCACCCTCAAGCAAATTGACTCTTCCTCACAGCTTGGTGTCATCTGCAAATTTGCTGAGGGTGCACTCAATTCCCTCATCCATTACCAATGGATAAAGATATCAAAGAGGAGTGGCCCCAACACTGACCCCTGGGGAACATGGCTCGTGACCGGTCACCAGCTGGACTTAACTCCATTCACCACCACTCTCTGGGCCTGGTCATCCAGTCAGTGCTTCACCTAGCGAAAAGCCCACCTGCCTAAGCCACGGGCTGCCAGCTTCTCCAGAAGACAGTGGGAGACTCTGTCAAAGGCCTTGAAGTGGGACTTGCATCTCTTAAGAAACAGGGAACTATCACCTTTCATTTTAACTAAAATGACTCATTTTGGCTGACAGTGTCACAGAAGAGTTTGGTTATTCTTTTTCAAGGGAAAGCTACCTCCTGGAAAAAAGGAGAATGAGAGCACCAGCTGCCCACCTGATAAAGTGAAAACCATCTCTGTTGCCAGAATAAAGGCAGAATGCATTTTAAAGCAGACAATGTTTACTCAGTGTTTACTAACCTCTCTGACTCACTGATGAAGGACAAGCACTTTAAAGGCTTTATTTCTTTATTAGAAAAGTGTGCAGTTAAAACAAAGCCAGGACATGGAAATATGTTAAAAATATATGTTTAGGCATAAAATGTTACCAAACTTTGTGGTATTACAAGAAAAACTTCCCCATGGGCAAGTGTCTAAATCTTTCTTAGAAAGTGTATCACCCCATATTCTGAACTATGTCTGTCCAGTAGGACTCTGGACCTGTTTTCTCCAAAATGTCACCTCCCTCACACCTATCACAACCACTTTTGCTGACTGCTACCCAAACCAGAGCCAAATTGCCCTGTCCGACCTCCCCCTCCCCTGGAACCCCCATTGCCCCGGCAAAGGTTTCCTTGGCCCTGATTCTACAAACTGTGATTCCAAACCTGCTCTCCGGAGCAGCTGTTCTCACACCAGCAAGCCTGCAATCAACGTCGCTGCGGCAGCAGTGGCTGCAGCTGCACCACCACCTAGTGGCTTCTCTGAGAAATGCTGCTGCTCTGGACGACACGTTCTCCTGCCTGAGCAAGGTTTCTCAGTCTCTTCCAGAGTGGCATTAATACATCCCTCTGGAAAGGCTCCTCAGAATCACATATGACTTCTTTTCTTAGTTCAGCACAGTCCTTCTGATTAAGGAAATTTCATAAATGAATAAAGCCACAACTCAAATTTTATTGTGTCACACATTCCTGCCTCCTAGTACTTTTGCAAAGCTGAGAAATGGTCTCAGCAGACACTATGCTCTTCCTGTAGATTTTCTCCTACAGACTCGCACACTTCAGCTCTGAGGCTTAAACTACAATTACAGCTGCCCTTACATAACTTCCCTATTCCCAAAAGAACTGCTAATTCTACTGCTCATTTTTTTAGGAGAGCTAAAACTACATGAAGAGAGGAGTCAACATTTCCTGGTGATTCAACAAAAAAAGTCTACGTGAAACTCCAGAATGATAACTCTTCCCTTTTAAGAGCGGCTTTACTGCAAACCCGAGGCATACCATGTCTCTCAGTTATGCTAACATAAGGCTCACAGAGCAAAGTTCAAGCTGCTTTCTCTACTTATTTTTAGAATATGCACAATACTGAAAAATTGTGCAAAAGAGCAGCTATTCTGTTCTTTGCATACACCTGCTGCACCAGGGCTGGTGATCTCATCCATCTCGTTGCAGCACAAACAGGTGTTAAGGATGGGATATGCTGTGAACTTCTGTGTCCATTTCTGCCTTAACATATGATGAAACTTCTGGACTTACCAGCACAGACTGACTCTTTTGTGTACAAACCTCTTAGCTGTAGGACACTTCTTTCATCTCTTCCTGCAAGGCGAAGGAAAAGTGATTTCAAAGCAGTTTTTTATATTCAAAGAATTAAAGGGGGGCAAGGCACAGAACCAGTACACATTAAGACTGTGGCACATGTTACGCTTCCTAAACTTGGTGCAAAAGGATCTGGTGTCCTGAATTTGCAACAATTAAGCACTTGCTTTCCCTTTTTTTTCTACAACTATTTTGTTTTGCCATAGAACAGTTCTTGTAACACAAATACACAAGGAACACAAAAATACACTACACCTGTTTTTCTAGGCTTTTCATTTCTATTCTGTTCTACAATCATTACCTGCTATGTATTTCATACTGTTCATTTTTGTATTTGAAATGCCCAGAAAGCCCTAAATACAAGCATCTAAGCTGACTAGTTAAGTTCATCTGAAGTGTCCTGAGGAGGGTGGAAGGGAAAGGAAAAAAAAATAATTAAAAAAAAAAATTTTCTCTTATCCCAACCTTCTCCTTGATCCTTGCTTCACACTTGTTCATGATTATATTTACTCTTTCTTCTCCTCTTCCCCCTGGCTTTTCCTCTGCCTTCCACACTTTCACTTCTTTTCAGTCATCCTTAGTCTCTCACTCTCTTGCTTGAGGAACTCTTAGTTTTCCTTGCTCAGGTCCCAGTACAATTCTGGAAGTAGGCAGATTCAATGAACTAATAATGTTCTCACAGGAATCTGGGTTCTTCAACCCACTGCTCCAGTTACTTGATCTAGATAAAACTCGGCCCATATCCCTTAACAACATATAACTAACTGCCAGGATCTCCCCTATCTCAATTTTACCTTATGAATACTCAGATTTCTCCCTGTCTGGATAAAAGAAAACAGTGACAACTCTGCACTTTTGACTGAGATGGGGGCTACCAGTGTAACAGCAGCTTTATTAATCTAGTCTACTGCCTGCCAAGAGACACTAGCACTTGCTTCCTGCATGCAAGACAAAGCCCACACCTCAGCACCACTAGGCCATGACCTAGTGGTTACAGGTGCACTATCTGCAAGTCAACAAGGAAAGTGAACTTTTGAGAAGGAAGTAGGACTACCCATGCCAAAAACCTGAAGCCTTTGAGGCTGAATGCAATTCTAGGGATAATGAAGTCTTACGACATATGAGATGGCAACTGTGTGCCATTCATGTAAAAACTCAATTCGGTAACGGTTTTCACATATTAGTCACATTGGGTCCAAGTTAAAAGGGCAAAATTTCTTGAACAAGGTCTACACATTCTATGCTCATGTGGTAAAGAGAGCCTAAATGGAGAGTAATTCTCCACAATAATGCAGGGGACAAAAAGCATAATTCAGTGTGATTTATTCATCAGTGCTGCCTAGTGGGGGAATAAAATAATCGATGCTTTTAGAAGTCATATTTTTATTTCTCCTCTTCTGCCAGATTTGTAAATGAGAATATGTAGCAACTCAAACATTTTATTTAAGCTATCCGTTTAAATTCAAACCACTGAAAAATGTTTTTCCAATTGAAAATTTACATCTCAACAAGGCCTATGAATCCTGACAAATGCTTCAGACAGTATAAAACTGATGTTATTTAAAACCTCAATCTTCACTGCAGAGCTCTAGCAGCTAGAGGCAAGTGAGTCAAAAAGCTTACTCTTCTACTCAAAATTGAGAAGTTTTCCCTGTACATTGAAATCAGATATCTGAACAAACTTTTAGTTGCAGTATTAAAAGAATCTTTGCACCTATTATAATTAGTAAGACATAATTATTTCAGAAATCCACAGACAGAAAAAAAAAATAACACAAACCCACAAAACATAACTTCTTGGTGGTGGGACTAGAATCTTAATGAATGAGACCTTCAGAAGTCACTGCCAGACATCAGGCTCCAGGATCAAGCAGAGCTCTTCATTTTTTTAGTTTCATTTTAGACAGAATGAAAAAAAGTGAATGAAGTTTAAGAACACAGCCAACCTGACACTGAGATCATATTTGTAATTGTATGTGCACCACTACAAATATATACCACTTTAGCTGATACAGGTAATGCCACCATAACTTTATTCTGATTTCAAATTATACCCTCATACTTGCTGATGCACTATAAAGTTGTTTGCATTCAAATATGCATATAAACATCCAAAAATTTACCATAAGTTTTTATTAAAAAAAATTTACATGTTTTTCCTGGGTACATCTTTTTTTTTTAAAAAGTACTGTATATATCAAACATTTAAGGTTCATCTCGCTGTTAATTTTCTTTGAAGAGCTGTTAAACATCTCCGAGTTAAAGAAACCACAGTGTAACTGCAGGAAAAAAGGCTTTTAGTTTTCTTAAGACGAGAAGTGGCTTGGTATATTTTGTGGCATGAAGACATGCCATTAGCAAGTAGTCCTTGTGTTTACAGCATTCTTTTAGGAATGACAAACTCAAAATCCCAAACAAAAACTCATACCTAACTAAACTATCACAAGGTACATTGAAGCTACTCAGAAAAATAGATTGTACTCAGAAAAGTGTCAACATTCATACTTTAACAGCTCTTTAAAGAGAAAATGGTGCAGACTAAGTACAAGTTTTTGTCTCAGTGTGATACACATTTGAAATTAAAATAAAACATGGAAGACCAATATCTTTACATTTTGTTCTTCAGAAAAAGAAGAATATTAAAGAAAGCATTTAGTAGTCCACTTGTGCTTAAAATATTCAATGCATGAGAAAGTCAAAAGAAAAATAATACACATTTTTATACACCATGATCAAAAAGAAATTTATACTTTTGCTGAAATTGCACTGTATTTAAAACACTCTCTAGAATCTGCTCCACTTCTACGTACGGCTACAGAGGCTGCCTGGCACAGTTCCTCTTGCACTCTAATTGCCAACCTGTGGAGGCCCTTCAGGGATGAGCGACGTGAAGAAGGTGGTGATAAAAGACCAAGCAGAAGCCATGAATCCAGGATGTGGCTCCGTATTGGCATCTTCACCTGCATCTTCTCCACTGTCTTCATCAATCCCATCATCCATAAGTCGCTCCTTTAAAAACAGAAAGTGAAGCCATTCAACTGTTTCATTTCAGAGCCTTGAAATAAATTAACAGCTGTATTTCCCCGCATTAAATAACTTATCTCAAAAGACTCTCCCTGAAGAATAATTAGCATGAAGGAAAAAAAAAATTGTCATTGAAGAGAATCATTTATTGTATAATTAAAAAGCGTGCACTGGGGACAATGCTGAGACCTTTCCAGTTGAGCCAGCGCTATTTTAGAAAGCTGACTTTCTGTCCAGTCATTGTAACAAACATCACTGAACTATAAAAAAAAAGCTGCATTTGCCAGCTTTATTGCTTTATTCATTTCCAGTTCTACCTATTGGTAGTGCAAAACTAGCTAGTCAGTTACTTTGCAATATAACAGAGAAGTCTCAAAAAATGTCTGCTACTACTCACCATCTCTTCAAGATCAGGATTATTTACATTTTGCCCATCACGGTTCACTTCCACATTATTGGCTGCCTGTTGTTGGCCTCCCTCTTGCCTAAAGGGGAACCATCCAGCTTGGTGTCTAGTTAATAAAATAGAACAGTTGAAAATGTGTCTTCTGAAGGGAAGAAAAGATCTTCTGCTGCAGCTACTTACTGTACTAGGTTCCTCAACTAGTTTCAACTGAATGAGGCTGCATTAATTCTTTTGGAAGTGGTGTTTCTAGTTAGCAAGATTCTTACTCATCCAGGTAAGAAAGAATAGTCACTCTCCGCATGTTTCAAGATGTGTTGCTCACAGCCCACTGTCCTCAAAGATGAGAAGTTTACCAGGATTAGGTGATGACATACATAGAATCTACTGGGGTGTGCTCCCCATTTTTGAATGCCCAAGTTCTATTAACTTTCACAAGGTAGCCCTAAATTTCAAAGTTTAAAGTTGATTTTTCCGGAGGGAAAAAAAATTCAAAGCCAAGGCTCGAAGCCTCTTGGAGAAGCCTCTCTTACATTTTCAAACATCTATACTTTGATTTCAACTACTATTGTACTTGCATCAAAAAGAGAAAGTTTTTATGAATAGGGTCTTCATGTTGCAAAGATAAGACTGCCATGTGAAGGAAAGACATCAGTGGTGTGTCTAAAATATCAAGCATTACAGCCATTTTCCACTTCATCTCATATCATTAAGATATTCTCATAAGTAGGATGAAATGATCAGAACACTTGGTATTTCTTAATAAAACTGGGCAGAGAATATAGATCTCTAGCACGCACTGTAAAAATATCTTTCTACTCACTGCAGTGCTAGCAAGTCTAGTACCCAGCGCTAGAGTAGCACTCTACCCAACATAATTTACTCTACACATCCTGTACTTTTACAAGCCCCAGCGAGTTTAGCTCTGCCATCTTCCCTTCACATCCAAGCATTAAATGTTTTCAGTTTATGTAAGCAGATCTGAATTAATTATACAAACAATTTCCTTGCCCTTGGTTTTATATTCCATCAAAGAAGTCTATGTTTCAAAAATGTAGATTTGTTCATAACCTAAAACAGTGCTTTAGGTTGTTGAGATTAAAATGGTTCCCAACATGCTGTAAAAGTCTTTTGAGCTAATAAAAATAAAAATAAATAAATAAATAAGAGAGAGAGAGAGAGACACAAATAAACCTAGCTTTTCTCAAAGCAGCTTATCTGTTTGGAATTCAAATTTGTGTACCATACCTTAAAATCACAGTACTTTAAATTCTGTATTTGGGTAGTGGAAATGGGTTATACCCGAACAGCATGCTCCACGTATCTGGCTGAGAGCTGTCCTTAACCGCTGTACTCACAAATAAACGAGCAGCATGGCTCCCATGACCATGACGAAGCGGCTGAAGGAAGAGTAGAAGTAGACAATGCTGAGGAGAATGGCCGCTCGCGAGAACGTGTACATCCAGTCCAGCCAGTCCCGGTTGAAGTCCTCCTCGTTCACCACGGGCCCTCCCTGCGCGTTCATCTGGACGTTGGCGTTCCCAGGCCTGTTCTCCTGGGCGGCTGCATTGGGCGCTGCTGCGGCCTCGTTGGCAGCGGCACGCTCTGAATTTACAGCCTGGGCAACTGCAGATCTCATGGGCTCGGTGCTGGAAGTCACTTGGGCTGAAACAGCAGCTTGGCTAAAAAAAATTAAATATAAAACTGGTTAGTCAAAAAACACAGAACACTGCATTTAAACCTACTCTGTCTTCTTCTCTGCACCAACTGACAAACAAAACAAACAAACAAAAAAAACCCAGATGTATTACAGGGTTAAAACAAAATGTACTTTTCTCTATCTTTGCTTTTAAAAACATTCATTTAATTTCAAACCAAAACCAGATTTTATAGTTCGATGGACAAATTTTAGCCACATAAAACAGTCCAGCCACAAAGAAAGGAGCCGACATTCTGCAACATGTCAGTTTTTAATACCCTCTTTTCAAAAGTGCATCTCAGGACTCTCCAAGACAGCGCACAAAACAACTTACTATTGCATGTAGTACTGACGCGCATACATTTGTTGCCACCAGATCATCTGTAAGGGACTGAATGCAGGGTACATAGGAAATCCAGCAGGAACACCCTGGGCTGGAAATTGGTTGCCTATATTGCTATATATAAAAGAAAAAACAATGATTTTTAATAACTGTCACATTTTAAAAATGCAGTAGTATTAAAAATAAGGTAGCATTTTTTCTTATTTGTTCTCCTACAACAGTGCAATTTCAGCATAACTGAAAACATATAAGGACAACATCCAACCCATTCCAACAGTACTTCATTTTTATGGAAAAAAAAAAAGTTATTTCTATACATAAAGCATATGTGTTTTTGTATTTAGAACTCTTTTAATAGCTACATCTCCAGACAAGAAGTCCAACAAGATTTTGTTTGCAACTGCAGAAATTCTTCCATAAGTACTTTTTATGTTCAGAGGTCACTCCTTAAAGGCACTGCAGGAGCTACAAATGTGAAACTCATTAGCTTCCATAGCTTTTTGAAATAGCACTACAGTGATCAAGGACATCGAGATCTACAGCTTCTGAACGCCACAGTTGAGCATTACTCCCCTCACCCGCTATTTTGTGCGCAAGGGATTCTCCACCCTAGGTGCTGTTACCACAAATTGACATGCAAGAGAGATAGCTCCTACATAGGTGGTAGATTTAGCTTAGTCTGCTTTTAAACTTTCTCTAGCCTCTCTTATTTCCTAGACTATACAGCATGATTTTGGTTTTTTCTTTCCCCCAAAACTTTCATGTAGTAAATTGTAGTAAACCTGAACATCTTTCAGGACAGCATGATAGTTTTATAAAGCATGAAGAAAGGCTTATTCAGGCTGCAGGCAGCAAAAGCTGAGACTGCTGTAACTGTACTGTGGGCTACACTTGTTCCCTAAGTAAGGAACTCCCTGCAAAGATATCACCAAGAGATTTCATTAGTCTACCAGGCATCCAGATATATGAAACATGCCCAGAAAACAAGACGGGAGGAAGGCATGAAAATCTGTTTCCCTCATATATGAAAAGATGTTTATTTCATTGCAATTCTGGACAAAAGCCAGCCATGCAATTCTGTGATCTCTGCTTTAAAAAAAAATGCAAAAAAAAAACAACAGCAACAACAAAAAAAACATTTATTTCTCTAGTCATTACATGTCTTAAAATAATTGTCGTCGTGTTCTTCAAAAAAGTTACTTCCATAGCATCACTCACACAAAATGAGATGGTAACAAGTGATATTCTAGGTTTCTTCTGTAGACTGCAAGAGTGAACTGGTAGCCCTGCTGATGTGACTAATTCTTGGCAAAGTTAACATGGTTGAGCAGTAAAGCTAAAAAGCTCCCATTGAAGAACGAAAAGCACACTTATGATTGCTGCATCCCCCGAAACTGACAAGTGCTACAAATTTTAGAGGAGTCTTATTCCTCATAAGATACTGACACTTAGCTTGGCTCTCAAAATGTAAAGACAATTGAGATATTTCATGTAGGCTTTGAGCACCACATTGTGACAAATCACTTTTCACTCAATTTCAAGCAGGTGGTTTATGGTCTGGGATAAGAACAAGCAGGTTCACTGTTCCAACACAGATTTTACTCCAGTTCAGACACTGACAGTGCTAAAACCTAAGAATTTGGTATAGCAAGTTATGCAGAAATTTAGCAATTCTTCAGATCAGATAAAGATTTTAGGGTTGTTTTCCTTTAAAACTGCCGAGTGCAGTTCAATAAAAGTTGAGAGGCTTATTCTAAGAGCTCTCCCTCACAAACAGTCTTCTAGAAATACAGGATTTGAATCCCCACTTTCTTCCAAATTCTTTCTGAAGTTGTTATCTCAACGTCTCACAGCTTAAGGGTAAAACACAGAACAAAAAGTGGTCAAGCAAGAATATTTCACGTATGTCCTGTTCTTTCCATTCACGTTCAAACACACACATAGATACACACACACACACACCAAAAGACCTTTTTTTTTTTTTTTTTAAACTGATCTTCTAGGTGGTGTGACTATTTAAGAAGCAAGAGTCTTTTCCAAATGTGCTACTATTAAGGAGGACACACATCAGTGTCAAAAGAACAGTGTCATCAGAACGCTAAATAGTGGAGAGGTATTTATTTGTGCATCAAAAATCATAATGAGGAAGAGAGTGTAAATCATATAGCTATTACAATTGTCAGGCTATTAAATTTGCTTTTGGAGTTCAGAAGCAACTCCAAATATAAGGCATTTCAGTGAAAAGAGCCTCTCCAAAGAGCGTCAGCTTGCTTTGAGAAGAAAAGGGAAAGCGGCACATGCTTTCTTCTCATCTTTTTTACAGGAGGAGGAGAAACAGGCAGGAACCACAGTATTTCAAGAGAATGGCAGCAACAGCAGAAGAACAGGGAAGCAAACTGGGCAGACACCGGCATTCTAAAGATGGAAAACAAAGCAGTGCAGACAATCAAGCCAGAAAACAGATTTAAGGTTCAAACGCAGAGGCAGCTTTAGAATATTCTGGGAAGAAAAAGGCACACTAAGACTTAAATGGCTAAAAATCCCAGAATTCATGGCCATATGGAAGAATCCTAAAATGAGTTAACATTCATTACAAGGTAAAGTTTTAAAACACACTAATATTTTATGGTTAAAACCTGGCATCGTAATAAAGATGGTACACACCACTAACAAGAGGAACAAAAAAAAATCTTTTTATTCCAATTTACAAGTTTCTGTCTTTTTCATTGCTCTATTTGTTTAATTATTTTGACCCAGGAAGAGTTATCTCATTAATCTCATCAGCCACATACAAGACCGGGACATCAGCTTTAAATGCTATTTCAAAACTGAAAACATATTTCCTACTTTAAAAACATACATGCAGCAAACAAAGGCTACTAGAGAAGCAAAGCCAGTATGAGTGTGCCAGACCCCACTGTGCTGCCAACACGTTCTCTTGCTCACTTCCAACCAATGCAACCTATTATGTTCTCAACAGCTTTATTAGGGGGGCTGCTCACATCGACAAGAGATGCTGCTGCATTGATTTGCCACATCGTTTATTTCTTTCAAGTATTCTCTAATCTGAAAGGTAAGCCACTTCAAGATTGAGCTCAACCACTTCAAGATTGAGTGTGTTTGTGCTGCCAACACGTTCTCTTGCTCACTTCCAACCAATGCAACCTATTATGTTCTCAACAGCTTTATTAGGGGGGCTGCTCACATCGACAAGAGATGCTGCTGCATTGATTTGCCACAGCGTTTATTTCTTTCAAGTATTCTCTAATCTGAAAGGTAAGCCACTTCAAGATTGAGCTCAACCACTTCAAGATTGAGTGTGTTCTGCATTTGTACCCAGTTTCTGAGCCTCAGCTAAGTCCAGAGGACACAGCTTAGTGGAAATATAAAGTACTTCCACATTCCCATCTCAAATATGTGCTTTTTTCAAAAGCACACAAAAGCCTCAAAGCAACATACAATTCTCAATCTATTTCTCTACAATATTTTAACAAGGAATTAGTTTTAACCACCTTTTGACATTCTCTACCTCCACCACACAAAAGCCTCAAAGCAACATACAACTCTCAATCTACTTCTCTACAATATTTTAACACGGAGTTAGTTTTAACCACCTGTTTTCCCAGAGGATAGTCGATTCACACACTTAAACTTGGTAACAACAACAAACATACACACACTATCTAACATTTGGATTACCTATTTGTACAAATTGCTATTACTAATGAAAGCGTTGCAAAACACTTAAGACTAAACCTTACATACATTTTTCAAGTATCTGGAGATTTTTTTTTGATCAGTAGAGTCTACAGTACATCAAGCTGCTATAATAAGAGAATGTTTAGTCATGGAACAATAAAAGAAAAATCCATCAGGCAACCAACGTTTCAGCTTCTAGTCCCAACTGTTCCTAACACGTCTCTTCTGCAAGTAGATTATATTCAAGTTAGATTTCCCTATCCTCAGCGATGCGTCAAGGTTTATTAATGCTGAAATACAGGTAGCAGCAATGCAGGACAAGGACAGAGATGCACAGGTAGAGAGTATTGAACTGAAAAGGTTACTTCATAAAGACAGTGGTCAGAATAATACAAGTGCTCCTGCCACTGCAAAGGTGATTTGCTTCCAGCAAAGAATGAGTTTCGTGTAAATAGTAACAAGGGCTTGAAACAATTAAGGACCAAATGTAGCAGGTAAGACTAGTAAATAATACATTAAACTTTAACAAGAGAGCAACTGAATTGAAACAGATCTTGCCAATTACTGTCTTTCTAGGGACAGAATTAATCATTAATCTGTTTGCTTCTTTTGACATTCTCTACCTCCATTCCCCGCCAAACAAGTACATAAATAAAATCACTTGAAACTACACAGGACTGGGCAAATACCTTTTCAGAACAGAATACAGAAAGTGTCCCCTGAGGGCTCTAAAGCTATCTACAGCTATCAAATCAGAATGTGCTACCTTTCTCTTTTCCCCTTGAAAGAAACAAGAACGTTTAAGAAGCTGTACAAGTTGCATAGGCTAAAAATTCCTAAAGCTGCATTTTAAGTTCACAAAAAAAAAAAAAAAAAAAAAAAACACCTTAGAAGTCGCAATATAAGGGATTTATTCCAGAAAAGTACACTCGCTACATTTTATTCTGTTATGCGAGCTATACAAATGCTTTAAAATTTTGTTGTAGATTGACAGTTACTCAGAACTCCTGCATATCATTTCTATTGTTAAATCCAACATGGACAAGAAGTGAAGAGTTACAAGCTCTTATATAGCAAAAACTAAGAACCACGATATTCTGGTAAGTTTTTAGTCTTAATGACGATATTAAAATACAACAGATTAGAAAAAGTGGCCAAAAGCAATCAATTATTTATATCATAGATGCACTTAGTAATATATTACAACTGTACAAAAGAAAACATGAAATAAAATAAAAAACAGCTTGAAAGGGATGCCCCCAAAACACTTATTCTCTGACTGACTTCTGGCTAAAAACATTAACACTCATATAAAATGAATTTCTAAATACAGAATAGTATTCAAAATGAAGTAGTCAAATTATTTTGTGTGCTGTCAAAGAAATTTAATTGTAACTGAACATCTAAAAATATTTTAAAGTGTATCAAAGAGTTTAGGATTATTTCAATCTTACTTACCCTTGCATTAAATAAGGGAACTGGTGGCTTGGTATGGGATTGCTTTGTGCTTGTGGAAGATTACGATGTCTCACTCCATCTGCACTAGTGTTCAAAGATGTAGACGAAGCTTCTTGGTTTGTGGCTGAGGCACTGGTTGATCCAGAATGGTCCAAGTTCTTTAAACAAAGAAAATGTGTGTACTTGTGTGCGTACACATACACATAGAGAGAGAGAAGGCGCGCGCGAGGGTGCACGTGCAAGTGAGCATGGAAGAAAGAGAGAAGGGAGAAAGGATGGTTTTTGGCCAAAGTCATGAGAGTTAACTGCTTAGTCTTAAAAATCCATTTGCTTTATGTTTTGCAATGCATTGAACTGTGTACATAAGCAACACAGTAACAGGCAAGTTTACTAGGGTTTTAATTGGCTCTGGAAAGCTTATAGTTAAAACAAAAATTCAAAACTGCATTTGGGTGCACGTACAATAAAGGGAAATTTACGGGAAGACTCAACACTTCACACCTCCCAGAGAAAACCACAAGTCATGGGACAAAGTTCCGAAAAGCTTGATCAAACTAGAGCTTAATCCAAAGTATATTTAGCAGCAGCAAAGTTTCTAGTAGCTATCATCATTCAAGTAACTGCAACCTCAGGTTATAGATTTACATTCAGAGGATGCAGTCATGCAGTGGCTCAAAAGCTCCCCTTCCTCTGCCCTTGCATTCAGTTTCCCCTCCTACCCTTATAGTCATCACTATCCTTTTCACTTTAACAGTTGCTCAATCCAAATTTCTAGTCCAACTGACTGCACCCGGATTAAAGAATAGGGCAACAGCTAGAAACTACTTCAGCTCCCAGAAACATAAATGAAAGTATGTTTCAGATATTCATGCTTTACAAGTTAGATACTTGTATATGGAAGTAGAGCAACAGCTGGCCCTCCTCGATGACTTGTCATCATAACAGGACTACAGTTTTGTCAATAAGATGCACTGTTTCAGTTTTAATAAGTCCCCAAATCCTATTTCTAAGCGTTACTGTAATGTTTATTCAGTAGAAAATCCTCTTCAACTTTGACAACTCGGGAAATGAGGAGCTGCAATTACTTAAGACATCCATATCACATTTGCCCTACAAAGGAAAACAAGAAAAATTTACTACTAGACTGCGGGGGGCGGGGGGGGAAGATGGAAGAACAAAGGGCATATATACTTTGGAATTGTTACCTTCAAAGCATTAAGAATTTAGCACTGTGTATTACTGACCATTTTAGGCAATCATTAGTATACAGCCTCTTAAACACATCACTTATATCTCACCTACATGGCAATCGAATAGCGACAAAGGAAGCCCCCTTTGTCCTTTGCATACTATTGCATAGTTCTGGAAAGAAGATGTAACCACTATCCACTCTCTACTATTGCTTAAACTGCTCATGCTTCCAACGTAGTGGTGCCAAACAGTACTCTAACAACAGAAAAACTGACAAAGTCAGCCTGTTACTGGAAAACAATGGGCCTGGATGCTGATAATCAAAATAACACAAACAAAAATACCTACAACAGCCTTGTACATATTCACTTTTGACTAACATTCAAGGGTTACTTAGTGATACTGTCACCTCTCAAAGAAGCCTAGAGAATCACAGTAATGAGGAAGAATTCACCAGAAATATTAGCTGCACTTCTGTTAGAGGAGTGATAACACAAAGAACAAGAGGGCTTGGTAAACAGCTGACCTAATAACAATAAATATATATAATAGATTTTGTAAGTTTTTTTTATACATATATATTATATATATATGTATAAATATTTCTAATCCTCATCGCCTCACAGACTACAGACACTCTGACTACTCTGAAACAACCCAAGTACTGGCCAACTCTTGCCATGCAGAATGAATGGTGGCCAAGCCCCACCTGCCTTTCCCACACTTGGACTGCTCTCTTGTGTAAAAACTGATTTGCATAAAACAAGAACTTGAAATTTAAAAAAATGTCTGAATCAACTGCTCAATTTCTGCTTAGGATATGAGAAAAGGGAGAGAAATAAAAATCATACTGTTCCAGAAAAAGTGTGTTAAAAATTAGAGAGTAGCTTAGGGAAAGTAGCGTGTTTTATCACACAATAAACATAATTGTGTTACAATGAGTAAATGTTGCATTTAAAAGGACACCTTTTAATCATTAAGTCCAATTGTACAAATGCAGTCACATGCTTTATTTTCATCATATTATTTTACCATCAAATTTTAAAAATTAAGAGAAATTACTGGAATGCATCCTCAGGGTAGAAGAAATCCATGTCCTGTGTATGAAACAAACTCACTGAGCTATTGCTGGTTGTTGAAGCTCCATGATCTTCTCTACTGCTGCTGGGTTTTGGAGAACTTGGGGGTGTCCGGGAAGTACACACCAGATGAACCATATGATATTCATCTTGCTAAAGATCAAAGAAAATTGAAGAGTTGAAGCAAACAGATGTTTGAAATTCGTAAGTCAAAGCTTTCTTTAAACACCCTCTTTCAAAGTTAAGTTTGTAATCAATGAAAAAAAGTTACACAAAATGAAAAGATCACAAAGCAAAATTAAATCTAGCAGAAGTCCAGTGTTTCAAAACATGTTTTCTTAACAGTTGTCTACACTGAACATTCGCTTAAATTCAATTTTCCCTAAAACTGCTGGCCGATCTAATAGAAAACAACATGGAGACACATGAGGAAGCCCAAGCTCTACTCTGTATCAAAATATTTATGAAAATTTCAACTCTTCCCTTAAAGATGCTTACATTTGTGTTTAAATTTAAGAAGGAGAGTTATTCAATAAACGCATCAGAGTAAAAATAATAATAATAGCAGTAACAATAACAGTTCAGAAGCTAAAAGACCAAGAGCATTCCAAGACAAAAAAAAACAAAACAGCTGCTCGTTCCACCTCATTCCACTCTAAGCTAGTCTCAAAGTGACCCTTTTGAAGCGCTGTACATGACTCGTATTCCAAAACACTTGAAAGGAAGGAAGGGAACTAGTAGCACTATATGAAGCCAAGTCAACACGCAAGTGACCAGCCCATGGCAATTCTTCTGGAATAAGCTGTTTTCCAAACGTGGAGCTCTAACAACTTGATAGTCTACATCTATTTCATTGTATCAAGTGAGAACACCGCTTACATCAACATGCATGTTGCTTATATGACCACTGCAACAACTGTGTATTTAAAGTGCACACTGCACCTTCTGCAGTATACCAACGGGTGAGGTTGGGGAAGAGGGAGCAACAAGGAAAACACACCAACTTTAAAAAACCACCTGTCGCCTTCAAGTCATGCATTGTGGCACACAGTCAGGCTCCAGTTTTTAAATAAGACATTTAGAAACACTTTAAAAAAAAAAAAAAAAAAAGGGGTAAAAATGCCACACACCTCTAGGCCCAACTTAAGGATGAGTTTCTGGGAACAAAGAAAACTGTACAACTGCTTTCGTACCACATTCTGTATTCTTGATAGCATAGCCTATCCGGATCCATGCTCATTTTACTCTTTGACATAATTTGTTCCTACACCCAAGCATAACCTCACTGTTTCACTAAATGTAACACTAACTAATTTCTAACTGGCCAGTGATCAGAGAGCACCAAACACATCTGATCAGCATTCTGATCATTTACAAAGTCTTTAACCTAACTAAATTACCTGGAAAAAAACTTAAACCACTTGGACAGACAAAGCAAGCTAGACAAATTACCTGCAAGCTTAAAGTGTACAACTTTACTAAAGGGGATGGTCATTTATTGTGATATATTTTTATTCATACGTAACGTGTTAGAGATCATCTACAGACTTACAGACTTCAAATATTTTGTAACAGCTAAACAACATGACTCAACATCAAAAAGTGAGTATCACAGAACTAATTCCAGAGATATTTGCAGTATCTTCAGGTGGAAACAGGAATTTATCACTAATCAAGTAGGAAATACATGGCAGAGAACCTTTTCTCCTATCTTTTCTCCAGAAACTCTTAAAAATTTACGCAGAAGGAACTCTTCTTTTTCCACCACAGATCTTTATCACTGTAATTAGAGGGATGAATGTGTTCCTAAACTCATTTAAGTCCTTTAACTAAACCGAAGGCCATTAAAAGCAAGCTATTAAAATGCTTCAAAAAAAATAAAACCTTTCCCCTGCAAAGTAAACGAGGGAGACATTAGTTAGGCAAGCCTCTTCTTTAATACACAAGCAAAGTTTGAACTCGCTTCCTAAAATTACTCTGTTGTAAGCAAGCCAACTGAGCTTAGGTGATTTGGACATTTTGTCCTAAATAAGCAAAACTAAGTTTGCAATAAGTTAGCAAGGCATTTTCATATGTAAATCTATAAGTGGTACTAGATGCATGCTTGTTGGCAATAGTTCATTTTTAAAAAACACTCGATTTCAATTATTTATCCTAATCACTTAAACCCAAAATAGTAAGACCTATTTCAAAATTGAGATTAAAAAGGAAAAAACAGCATTAGTCACTACACACTGTACCTAAGATTCCTCTTAACAACCCCCAAAAATATGAAGAGGCTGATGTAGTTGCCCACTTTGTAGTAGATTTGAGTTCTACAAAGCATTGTTCTTCTGCAAAAGTTGTGCACACAGAATACGAAATGTAACCCACTCTAAGGAGTCTATATATTAATTTTAGCACCAATAATAAAAAATAAAACCACCATCATCTCTCTGATACTGTATTACAGAGATTATATATTTTACAGGATTAAAAAATGGTGACTGCTTTAGGACATGAAATATTTTGAAAATATATTTATTAATGCATCCCCATCTCCTTACAAAAGGGTTTAAAGCTTATTCACATAATGCACTAAGCTTTCTTCTACCAAAGTTTGAAATTTACACAATCCTTGGTAATGTGCAATAAACATCATCTTATTTGATAATACTATTAAGGATTTTAATAACTTGATGAAATCTCCATCTCTTAGTAGCAGTGTTCCCACATAATTGGTTCAAGATGAGAACTAGGTACATATGTTTGAGTATTTCCTGCACTGGACAACATATGTATTTAGGATTTGGATTTAATCTGCATGTTGCCTAAAGAAAGCAAAATTAAATTACTAATTCCTCTCTCCCCTCCTCCCCCACCCTCCGCCCCACCACAAGATGACAGCAAAATAACAAAATGGGAAATAGCAACAAACTTCCACGAACATGAAAAAAATTAAGCCAGATTAACAAACAGCTTTCCCAGCTAAAGCATTTAGGAATTTAAAAGTTAGTTTTCACATATAAACTTATTACCTTTAGTTTGCTTACAGAAGTCCTATTTTTAATGTGAATTCTTGGATATAAATCCAGGAAATAAAATAGTATTTCAAGCAAACAGATCTGTTAGCTAGTTCTGTTTTAAGTCATAGTAGGAACTATCCAAAAAAGACATTCTGTGCTACATATCTCTTATTTAGGACTTGCATATTCTACTCCCTCTCCCACCAATGGAAATCCTTCCCTGGATTTCAGAATGAAATGTACTTTTATATACCCAGATACTTCAAATACTGCTGTGCTACAACCAAGGTATACTTGAAAATACATATTCCAGAACATAAAAACATTATTTGGCTGGGAACAAGTTCAGTTTTAATACAACAATGAAAAATAAAAGTTAATGATGCAAACCTAGATTCCTATTTTCCAAAACCTGTTTTTGCTCAGGTATTATACAGTGTTGATAAGGCTTACTTTTCTGAGAATATCTTTCAGTTGAAGATGATCAGGAAGCAATCTGCCAGAGTACACCAGTCTCTGATCCTTTGTAGGCTAGGAGATGGGACAAAGAAAGAAAATTAGGTTTTTCCAGCTGTACAGATACAGAGCTAGAGATAACATTTGCAAATGAGAAAATACCTCATAATTCCAAACATTATAGCCTTAAAAACATTTCAGAGGCTTTTCAAGTCCAACTCTCAAGTTATGTCTGAAAGAGCTTTTGCAATTATGCACTTAGCACCAGTGTTGTGAAAAGTACCACCACGTAACTGACACACGTGCTGAAAGAGGGAGCTGGCCTAATCAAATCCTAGAAGAAATCTAGCCTAATATCAGTGGAACAGACATGCATTAGCAGTGACAAGTATTTGAAGAATTTACCCACCATGCCATGTCTTACATATCTCCTCTTTCTCTCCCACCCCTTTATTCTGCAGGGTACTCCCTATCTCCAAAAGAAACAAACAAACAAACAAAAGAAAAAACAACCACCAGCACTTTCACAGAAGTCCTGACACATTTTCTCCTTGCAATAATCTGCAGATTCCCAATAACTCTGCAAACACAAGAGCTACATATATTGGCTGATTCCACTCCTCCTCAACTACCCCCAGTATGGTCATTTTACTAGAAGGATTTATGGCTACTCTTGAGAATTAGAAAAGGCACATAGACCATTTGGCAGGTTTTTTGTTTGTTTTTAAACCAAATTCATACTTTTGTTTATGATTAAATACACAACTTTAAACAACGCGTAATTAATGTGCCACACATAGAATGAAACTTATACTTGCTTATACTGAAGAACAATTTTCTATGTTCTTCCCCATTCTCTGAAACTTTTAGCATGAACCAAAATTACGGAAGGCCTTGACATTTATAACCAAGAAACTTGTTTCAAAACAATCAGCAGAATCAGATGAAAAGTTTCAGAAACCACATTTTGGGGTCCTGAGATTGCTTCTGTGGAGATTAATTAAACTATGATAAGTATCAAAAAAAAATCCTAATAATATTATTCAAAATAAGGGAATAGGTAGAGCTGTCTTGCTTGCCTACTTGCAACACAAGGTCTTGCATGGGCAAATTCAGATTCTTTTCTTGCAGTATCTTATACAGAAACTTCCCTCTCTCTCCCATATAATTAAATATTATCTCCAAAACTATTCAAGTGTTTATCTCACAGATAAGAAAGGGCTAGATTAAACTGACCCCTCAGAGCAGACTACTCCATAGCCCTATGTAATGCAACGGAGCTTCCTACATAAGCACAGAAGCAAAGGTGAACTGTGAACACTGTATATCACACTGAGACAGGGATCTTAATGGGGGAAGAAGAGGTCTTAAAACTATAGTCCTCCCTATGCAACAGAAATACCCAACTGCACTGCAGGAATTATCACTTGGAACTCACAGAGTTGAAAGCCAACCTGGGATTCTGGGGCAGGCGTTAAATGCAGATGGAAGAAGAGGTGATATATGCGAAAACAGATTAACTTGCACATACCCTAAGGTATTCAACTCATCCTCTGCCAGAAAAGCTTCCCTACCACACCTTCTGCCTCAAGGAGCAATATGCTCCCTGCTATACTGAAATGCTCCAGTGGGATGGAAACAGTTGTAATTTTCTTTTTATTAAGAAGAGAATGGCCCATTTTCAGAGGCAAAGTCATACAATGATTCTATAACCTGAAGCTAAGAGCTCATAGTTGAGATATGATCTAGAAACCATCTTTCCTAAGTCAAAAGTCACATTTAAGTTGAGAAATAATTTCATTAAGCTCCTCCCCCATTTTTTCAAGCTATAGTCCTTCTGAATGCTTGAAGCAAGTTAACTATACTCAGAATATTATTAAGGACACCAAATCTAACCTTATCCAGCAATCTCCTCTGTATCCATAGATTGTCTCTGAGCTATCCTTAGTTTCAGTGACAGGAGAGCTACTGTTTTGGTTACCAAGTCTGTCTGCTACTCTCCCACAGGCATTAGAAATGTAAACAACAACAGCTGGTTAGAACTATGCATGGTACTAAAAGAAGTGAAAAACAGCAAGTTTTTAAGTTGACATTTATGGGCATAATCGATGCATTGATTAATGCAAGATCTGCCTAACTGAGCCACACAGATCGATTTTCAAGGTTTTCTTAAAAAAAAAAAAAAAAAAAAAAAAAGTTAGGACAGTTGATTTTAATGCCAAGCTTAGCTAATGTCCACAAAACCATTTAGTACCAATTTAAACCCACCTAGTTTGTTCAGTGACTTTGTAGAGTAACTACATCAACATTAGTAATTATTAAGCAGATTTAAATGTACCTTTGACTTCAGTTTATGCATATTCAGCTAAATCATTTTTCACATGTTAATCCGGTAAAAACACACACAACTACCTCAAAGCATAACTGCTCATCTGTGTACTTTAACTGGCTCCTTTTCTCAAGGCATGTTCTTAAAAGTTGGTAAATCTAAATACAGCATTTAGAGCTATCCTGAATTTATTTATTGAGAAAAATACTACCTTAACAGAAGTGCATAGCAAAACATAGCAGCTGCGAGTTGACATACGCTGGCACTTTTAAAATAGCACCGTAACAGAAGGTATTTCCAGGACTTTCTGCATTCAGGGAGCGTAGCAATTTGGCTGACGAGCCTCTGACACTGTTCTGTTTTTTAAAAAAAGGCTCCTAACAGCACAAAAATTTAAACAGACTTGGAAAGAGCAGTAAGACTCTGGTCAAAAATAAAGTCAAATCAAGCCAAAAATAAGCTTTTCAGTTCTATCACATATATAAAACACTACTTCCCTTCCAACATTATTACTCACTTTTAACTTGAGAGATTCTACAAAACAAAATACTGTGCTTAAATCCAATTAAAGGACAATAAACACAAATTAAATCTCAATTAGTGACAGAACTTACCCATCTTTAATGCAAAACCCAAATAATTTTGAGGATTCTGAACTACCAAGGTATGTTTTAATCATGACAAACTTATGGAGGAATAGATCAATTTCCAACAGAAGGAAGTTGTATCAGAAAATTGAAGTCTAACATCAATTGGTTGTTTAAAACCTACAATGAAACATAAAAGTCTCTCATTCATTAATAATTCTTTCTGAAACAAAACTTTGGCAAGATAACAGGATAAGTCAGAAAACTAGCAGTTAAATACATGCAGGCATTTTTCTGGAGCAAATTCTAGGGAAGAATAAGTGAAATTGTGTATTTGTTTATTTTAAAGTGGACAGGCTCCCTGAAGACAGAATTACTGACAGCAGTAATTAAATCCACAAGTTCTTAAATACTACAGGTTAACAGACCTCCAGTGTATCCAGAGACTGTTTTTTCCTGATCTCTCTGAAATGAATCCCTTCCAAACACAGAGCTACTTATTATTTATCTATGAAGTGTTTTTCAAAAGGAAATAACAATGCTAATTCTTCCATAGAACTGGGTGAACGTTTAGCGTTTACAATACAAATGCAACCTTTGCTTGATGTTTTCTAAAGCAAGGTTCAAGCCTCACATCATACTGCAACGTGAAAGCAAAGTTACTGCCTCCCTTGTAGTTTCCTGGAACAAATTCTCCTTAAAGCAAACAAATATACTGTTCTGTTCAACTGCCACTCCAAAGAGGTACGTTCTGATTTTTCTACAGCAGTATGTTTCTTTTATAGCCTTTTTAATCCTCAACTTTAGAGCTGAAAGAGCTTAGAAATAAAGCTTACTTTCCACAGTGAACAAACAGAGTAGATTTCTGCATTAACAGAGTTTCCAAACTTGGAACTGTCAGAGAAGTATGCAAAAAACTGACAGCATAGCAGTTTTCAGCACAACCTCGACAAACAGGCTTCCCAAGGAAAAGATTTTTGCAGAGCTTATTCAACCTCAGGTTTCAAATAATACTAAGAATAGTCTATCTGTTCCATGCTCAGTGAGCTCATTAAAGTCACCTTATTTTCAGTAGTATCACATAAGCACCGTGATTATTTTAGACAGAATCCTTGCATTTACAGAAATCAGTAGTAAATTCAGGTAAGATACTTAAAATCCAGTTCTTAAGGAAAACTAACATAGCATCTAATAAGTGTTTGCAGCATTACCACCCTTCAGGATATTAAACCATGTTCTTTCTAAAGTATATGAAAGAGGTGGCTACTGGTACTTCCTGATTGAGTGGGTACACAAAACCATTACCTCCACAGACACAGTTCTTCAGAAACAGAAGACCTTCTTTATTTATTTTCAGGAGTACATAGCACTAATACAGTTGGCCGGCCCAGAAATTACCGCAACGTCAGCCCTCACAACAAGCCCGACAACTCACCGGCTTGCTGGGGTAGACCTTGGAGAGGTGACACTTGAGCTTGCCCACCGTCCAGTGCAGGAAGCAGTTGATGGTCTGGTCCGTGTATTTCTGGTTGGGAGCCCTGATGACGAGGG